GACGGACAGAGGGGGGGGGGGGGGGGGGCTGGGAGAATGGGGTGAAGGGTTAAAGAAGTACGAATTAGTAGCTGATGGATGGTCATGGAGATGGGGAGCACAGCATAGGGAATACAGTTAGCATTAATACGTTGGCTAGGTGGACGATGGAGAGGAGGGAGGGTGCAATTGGGGGGATCGTTTTATGGCCTATATAGATGTCTAACTAATGTACTGTATACTTGAAACTAAATTAAAAAAAATTAAAAAAATGCTCACACATGTTGGTCAAAAAGTCATTTCAGAGTAACTATGGTGTGTATATGTGTATGTATCATGTATATAATATATATATATCATATATCATATATACACATATATCATATATAATATATACATATATATAATAAAGAAAATAACAGATATTCCACAAGGGAAATTGGATCTGTTTTTACCATTTGGCCTTAAATTTCTCCAAGTCATTTTCAGAACCTCATCCCCCAAAGTTTGATGTGGCTTTTATATTCAGATTCATAAATGCTTTTCATTCACATTTAAGATCCTATAAGTAGTACAGTAGATCTTTGTAAATTCACAAAGTAATAGCAGTATCTTACACTTTTAGGTTTCCCAATTTATAACAGGATTTTTAAAAATAGGTGAGCAGGTAAACTTTACAGATGAGAAAAATGAGTCTGCCTACAGTCTGCAACTGTGAATTTGGGACTTGATAGAAACAGTGCCGGCTTCAGGCCAAAGAAACATTTGTGAATAAAGTGGTCATCACTCTCAACTCAATTCCAAAGGCTCTTTGTTAGGATGGTTCAATGGGTACAAAAAAAAAAAAAAAAAAAAGAAAAGAAAAAGAGAAAGAAAGAAAAAAGAAGAAACTTCCATTATTTTTACCTTTAATAAAAAACCAATTCTGGTAACTAATTTACTTTTGTAAAATACAAAATTGCAGCCATCTTTCATGTCCGTACTTCCCTCTGGGTTAATACTTTGGCTCAAACAAAAGGCTGTAAGAGTAAATTCCAGCACCTCGAGCTTTCCACTGGGCAACCTGAGGCCTGTCACCTAGAGAGCAGTCCACTAGTTCTCTGTCCCTCTCCCAAGCAGTCACTCCAGTGAAGCAGTAGTGTCATACATTATATGAATGTGCAGCACAAAAGATAGCTGCTTACTAAACAATTCTGAGCTCGGGAAAGCTTGGGCCTCCTTCCAAATATTAATATAAAAAACTTGCTGACATCAGCAGAAAGCAAGAATTTAATGCAGCTCCGTTATAAATTTGAGGACTCTTGCCCTAAAAAATACAGCCTTTTAAGTTTCTAGTATCTTATTCTATCTTCCCCCAGATTCCGCAGCTTCAGTTCCCTAGTGAAGTAGTGTTGACTAGAAATAAAATTAGGAAGACATATATGACAGGAATTAAACATCTTTAGTCTCCAGAATGGCCAGGGTTCCTGTCACCTATCATTAAGGGAGCTTTGGAGGCTATGAAGTGAGAATCAGGTTGTGGCTTTTGCTTCGCATGTGAATACTCCAATGAGTCTTTCCCTGGGTTTTTCTGTGGCCCGTGCAGGTGGAAGGATGAGCAAAGGACATCTTCTCTTCCTAAATCATGCCAAATGGAGTGATGGCAAGTGGCATTTGATTTAGAAATGAAGTTTTCACAGACATCCGTGACCTTGGGAATTTGTCAGTCTATCTATTTTCACACTTAATGAAAACTGAGACTTTCATTTTGGGGCACTATGCTTTCAGCCTGAAGCTGGGCTGAGAAGAACATGCCAGCTTATTGAAAGGACTGAGAAGTCACATTTTTGAGAACGCAGGGTCCAGAAAAACTTGCTTGCAGGTGTATTTAACCTTGGCTCTGGGATACAGAGCATTTTTGAGATTGCAGGGTCCAGAAAAACTTGCTTGCAGGTGTATTTAACCTTGGCTCTGGGATACAGAGCATTCATACGTACAGGTTTACCAACACTATCCACCCAAACCAATACCCAGTCAACCTAAGGCCATTACAAAAAAATGCAACAAAAAGGAAAACACTTCAGCGATAGATACTAAGAAATGACACCCTTCTGTCACTCATTTTTCTCACTGGTGTGGGGATGTAGGGATTAACTGTTGCCTACTGACTAACCTGAGGAATGCTATGATCAAAATTTTCTAGTTGCAGTATTTAAACGGCAACTGTCCACTGCTTCCTTATTGTGGCCTGTATTGCCTTTGAGCAAGTCCTTCTATATTTACCATGCCAGAGTTCTGTTTTTACTTTAGGATGGACTCAAGCCATGCGTTCTAGTATGCATGTGGCATTCAGATGGGCAGTTCAGCCTGCCTGAGCAGAAGTGACAGGGACGGCTCAGTGACAGTGCATTTCTGTGTTATGTCCTGCCCCACAGCAATGCCACCTTGGTTCTGAGTCTTCTGCTGGGGCACAGTCCTGTGTGTGGCTCTGTCCACACAAGTGAAATGTACTTTATTTTATTGCAAAATATCATTTGGCTTAAAATGCCACCTCCTGTACTCTGATTTTTGTTGGGAAGTGTCAGAAGAGTATGGTCGATAAGGTGAGTAAATGTCCAGCTGGCTGTGTGGCCCCTCCTGGAAGGAACTGAGAGGGGGCAACTGCGCTACATCAGTGGGTGGCAGAGCTGTGGCAGGGACTGTGCCCATTAGTGACCTCTTCTTCCTTTGTTACAGTTCCGTGTGACTCCTGCATGCTGGCCCGCTGGCTGTTGGAGTCGGGTGTCACGGGCACCCATCGCTCCAGGGCAGCTGTTAGAACTTCCATCCAGGGAGATGCTGGCGACATGGTTTCGCTGTTGGAACCGGCCGCAGGCAAGGGAGGCACATGCCACCAGGTGTCCAGGAGCCTGGTGGGTGGCACACAGACATGTGCTCCTTACATCGCGACGCCAGGCCCAGCGTGTAAAGCCGCACTCGAGCCCCGGGAAGACTGAGCGGGGCGCTGCTTTGCCTGCTCCTGTCCCGGGCCTGGGGGACAGCCGCCGCAGGTGCTCTGCCATGCCGAGATCTGCTGCTTGTGTGTGTAGTGCTGCTGGCTCGGGACCCCTGGCCTGTGGGTGTTCAGAACCAGGTGTTCCGGGCGTCCTTTGGGGGTGGGCTGTGAGAACTGGGGTACAAAGTGTGTGATCCAAACCCCTCTGCCCCTCAGGGAGGAGCTGGGATTTAGGGGTCTCTCCCATGTGCCAGGCGTAGAGACTGTTGCAGCCCTTCTCTCCTGGTCCCTGGGTGTCGGTGGGGTGGGGACAGGAGGGGCCCTAGGTCTTGTCTTGTCCCTCCCTTCAGACAGCGCTGAAACAGGTCTCCATCAGTCCAGGCGTCCTAGTAGCATTCAGGCTAATTCCTCATCCCTCAGTGGAGGCCGCAGCCAGAGAGGCAGATGCTGTAAACCATAGTACCTGAGAGCTTTCCTCTGCGCAGGCCCCACTGCTTCCTGCCTCCCTTAGTCATGGGGCTTTTCCAAACCAGGAAATCGAAGTTCTGCAGGAGCGGATGAGTTAGCTGACTCAGAAAGAGAATGCCACAGCAGCTAGGAGACCAGGTGGTGGCTGTGGGGCAGTGGGGGTTGGTGTTCAAGGACAGTAGGGGCCTGTGAGTCTGGAGTGAAAGGCACAGAGAATAATCCAAGTGCCTGAGCGCGTTAGGGCCTTACCTCTGCAGCTGCGGTCTGAACGGTAGGCAGGGTAGGGGCTTCCTTTCTTCTTCTCAGCATGCCAGCTTCTCTTCCTCCAGTTTGTCAGTATATGTGTGGAAACCAGTATTTCTGACTTGGTTTGGGCAGACCAAAACCTGCTACCATATATATATATTTTTTTTACCAAGTCAAACCTACCGAGGAAATATCACTTAACAACCTTAGACAAATGTCAGGTGTGCTCACTTGGACCCCAGCATCTGTATAGTGCATTGCATGCTCAGGACCCACTGTCTAGTTGTGAACCATAGCCATCTAGTTGACCCCCTTTACACATGTTGTTCTTCCCTATTGCCCTTACACTCTGGTCATCAGCATTCTGTTGTGGGAGCCTCTGAATTGGTTATTGTTTGTTTTGCTTCTTTGTGTCTGGCTCTCTGTTCCAATTCCACATGGGAATGAAATCTTATGGGTCCTGTCTCTTCTGCTCTGATTGGTGAAAAGAGCCAGTGTCCCAGAATAATTCTGAGAAGTTTCCAGCTAGTAAGTGACAGAAGCTGGAGTTCCTGGCTGAAAGCAGCCCTGCAATTCCTAGCGCTGTCTGGCGACCACCTGTCGACTAAGGAACAGTGGCTGGACCAGTGACTGCACCCAACTGGGGAGCTTTTGTCATTTGGGACAATGGAGAGAATGCAGATACAGCCACGACTTGGTTGGTGAAATTAATCAGTGCATGGCCGGTGAGGCTGGGCTTTGAGGAGACCGGCAGCTAATGGCCTGCCCTCTGGCAGTGGCCAAAACAGGATTTCTAAGCCTTGTTTCTCATGAGTTCTTCAGGAACACTGGTACCAGGGAGAGTGAACACCATGCCCCACTGGTCTGGCCTGGGCTGAGGCTGGGGAGGAGAGGCAACCTCAGGACACACCAATCCAATATAAGCTGTGGAATGAAGCCCTCTGTCCACAGCCTGTCAAGGTTGTTACCATGACCTTCCTACCACCAATGCCACAAGGGAAGAATAAACCATGTTTCAGAGAAGTCCCGGGACAAGAGCTGGCCAGGATAGTGCCCAACTCTCTGGGATCCAGGTCTGGCAAAGAACTGGAATTAGGAGGCCTGGGAGACACTGCTCTTCCCCCTCCTGGAGAATTAGCACCAGGTCAGGCTCCAGGAGACCTGTGGGGCATCTGGGCATGTGGGGTTCCAATCTGCCCCCTGCTCTCACTCTCTGGGTCACCAGTATTCATGCTTTAGCTCCAAGTGTGTTGACTGAGCAAAAAGTGACAACAAGCCACTTTTTTGGCCTGCTGCATTCTTCCTTGGAGCTTTCACCATCCTTCTCTCTGGACTCGGTTTCCTTTTCGGCAAATGGAAACTGTCTTCCCCAAGGAGAGGTTGAACCCCCGAGGGGAGCTCTGGGCAACACAGGGTCTAGTCAACGTGGATTCATCCCCTGCAGGCCTTTTTTTTTTTTTTGGCACAGGCGAGTTGCCCTATCAAAGCTCCTTTGAGGGAGGACTGGCTCTCAATAAATCATGGCTGTAGTCCATGCAGTTGATGCTGGCCAGGTAGTGGGCTCACCCATCCCCCAGCCTTCCATTCTGTCCTACCATCACCTCAGAGCCCCATTGTTTCCCTGAAATCCCCATTTCATTTGCCTTCCACTGGAAGCTGACAGATCCACTCTCCTGTCTCTTCCTACCCCCCCATTCCCCTCCTCCTCCAGGTTTCCATACTCTCTCACAGCCAATTCTTCTTCCGCCCTGTGGGTCCCAGGTCTAGCTGTGATCCAGGCTCACAGCTAGGGATAGGACTCCAGGTTTAAAATGTTACATTAATGTAGTAAGGCACCTGCGCCTAACTTATGTTAAGTATGATTCAGCTTATTGTTTATTACGTATGTGTGGCAAATGCCACTATTGTTCTCTGACATATATAAAGCTCATGCGGTCCCCTAGTGCAGAAGCTCATGGCTCCAGCAATAAAGTTGGTGTCTACCGTTTCATTCTCATGTCGGCTCCTTGTGCATTCTTTCAACTGGGCGTCTCACCACCGAAACCTTCCTTTCTTGATCAGCTTGGCGCTGACGCTAGAAAAGATGCTTGAAAAGTGTCTTTCGCAATTTGTGAACCGTGGACCAGCTGAGTCCAGATGCCATAGGCCCGGACTGGGGTAGGGGTGGGGGTGACACTACCAGGCTTCCTCAGGCCTCATGACCAGCGGAGTCTGTCACAAGTCAATTCATCTGCAGAGCCTGTTTCACAGGGAGTGACCCATCTCGGAACCGGTAGGTCGTGGAGCAGCAAAGGGTGTCCTGGACAAGATCAAGCACCCGCTGCCAGACAGCAGAGGTGCAAGGGCATACCAAGCATCTCTGCCCCTGCAGCCCACCCCCTGTCCCAGAGGCGCGACCTGGAGAGCAGGGAAGAGCCGAGGTTAGGAGCTGGCATTCTGGTGATTGGTATCTATCTAGGGCCAAGTGAGCAGAAGCAGGCGCAGCAAGAACAGTCTGGGATGCGGGGTCCACGCCTGGGTCATTTTCCGAGGGAGGAAACGCCAAACATACGAGAGATGGTTTAGAAATAATTTTACTCCAGATTTACAAGTTGGGATCGCTGATGGCCTGGCTCGCCACTACATTCCACTTCAGAAATGAGTAAGAAACAGAAAGGAAGCGGTATGGGGCCTTTGCCAAGATATAAATTCTCCAAATTTGGAAAAGAGTAAAAAGCAACATGACCTCCGCCCCCACCATGGTCGAATCAGAGCACTCAGACTTTGTGCTGCCTGAACAGCGTCACTGCTTCCCAGTGGCCACGCCACTGACCCCAGGAGGGAGAAGTGCCCTCCAGACAGCCAGTAATAAAGGAACTCTCGACCATGCTAGTTATCCAGAGTATACAGGGCTGAATGCGTCATACCTTTGTTCTTGACAAGTCAGGACTAGTGCTGGTGTCCTGTCTCTTTCTCGCAAGATCAGGTTCCTGGGCATCCCACTTCACCAGGACTTTCCTTGCCATCAGAGTGTCCTCCTGCAATCTGATCCCCTCCGCAGCCCTCCCGTCCCTTCCCTGCTGCCTTCGGTGACTGTGGGCTGAGCTAGCAACTTGCCTATTCACTACTCCTCTATCTGACTGTGGTCCTTCCTGACAAGGCTGACAGGTCTTTTCCCAAGGACAACACCCCCCCCCCCCCCAAGGGAGGGACTCCTCTATACTGTGGTCCTTCCTGACAAGGCTGACAGGTCTTTTCCCAAGGACAACACCCCCCCCCCAAGGGAGGTGCTTCCCTGTCACTTCCTAGATACCTTGGCCTCTTTGTTGCCCCTTTCTCTGTCCCTTAGTCTCCGGCTCCAGCAGCAGCAAGATGGGGCAGGAAAAAAGTAAACACTTCTTAAAATGCAGGGATGAATACAAGGTAAATAAAAATCAGTTCATTAAACTTGAATAATTGAGAGGAACAAATTAACTTGGTACCCTGGCCTGCTCCCCAGCGTGACTCCCTTCGGGAGCTGGCTCTCAGCCTTCTCTTCCTAGGTGAGCTCATTCACTCCTATGATTGTAACTGTTTCTGTGCTAATAACTCAGATTCAGGTCTCAAGCCCACATCATTTCCTATAAAGTAAACTCATACAACTGCCTACTTAATATTTCCATCTCAGGGCCTTATCCACATACGTCCAAACCAAAAGTCTTTTCTTCTTACTCCTTAGAGCAAACCAAGGCCCTATCCACATGTGTCCTGGTAATGCATGCTGTCACTATTTATGTGGGTGCTCCAAACAAATCAAGATCTGGCGTGATTCCTTGCATTCTCTCAACTACCACCAATGGACCCACGTGTGGTCTCAGGGGTCTGTCCCCTCCCACATGGCTACCTCGCCGGTCTTATGTGCCTCAGGTACATCACTGCATCAGCCCGCCACTCTCCACACCTGCTCCCAGTAACTTACCAACTACAGTCCATCCTGCACGCAAGCCATCAGACTTCTGCTCCCCTGCTTATCAGCCTCAGCAACTCTCCAGTGAATGTAAAGTCACACCCTTTCTCCCTACTGGCCTGAGGGGGCCCTAAATCAGAGTCAGCGAACTATCATCTGTAAAGAGCCAGATAGTGAATAATTCAGGCCTTGCAACCCCTATGGTGGTGCTTCC